TCACAGGCCCCAATCTGATGGAACCTTCTCTTTACTCCATCTCATGACTGCAACCCTGTTGCTTTAGCCAAAAAAGGTGGAGTCATTCATGACTCTCCTCTTTCTCACATACCATTTCCAGTCCATAAACAAATCCAGCTGGCTTTAAGAGCGTGTGCATGCACACACGTACACACGTGTACACACATACACACCCCTCTGGCTTTAAGAGCGCGTGTGTGTACACACACACACACACACACACATACACACCTCTCTCTCTCTCTCTCTCAATGCCTCCACTGCTGCCACCTTATTCTCTTGTTGAGAGATGCCAAGACTAGTCTCTATCCTTCACATTTGCTCCTTATGGGCTATTATCAACCCAGAAGCAGAGTGATCCTGTTAAAACCTAAAGTAAACCCTACCTTTCATCTGTTCAAATCCATTAAGCTACTTCCCATCAGAATAAAATGGCATACCATTTGTCATCTCCCTAATCTCATCTTCTACTCTCCTTTCTCTATGTACTCTAGTCACTCTGGCTCACTTGCTATTTACAGAGAATACTGTACATGTTCCCACTCTGGGGCCTTTACAGTGGGTTTTTCTGTCTGGAACCTCTTTCCCCCAAAGTAATTTTTTTTGGGGGGTCTGGTCGTGGGGCCTGAACTCTGGGCCTAGGCGCTGTCCCTCAGCTCTTCAGCTCAAGGCTAGCGCTCTACCATTTGAGCCACAGCACCACTTCTGGCTTTTTTCTTTTTGCTTATGTGGTGCTGAGGAATTGAACCCAGGGCCTCATGCATGCAAGGCAAGCACTCTACCACTGAGCTACCTTCCCAGCCCCCCAAAATAATTTTACAGCTCATCATTCCCTAACCTCCTTTAGGTCTCTGCCCAAACATGAACTTTTTTTTTTTTTTTGTCAGTTGTGGGGCCTGAACTCTGGGCCTGGGTGCTGTCCCTCAGCTCTTCAGCTCAAGGCTAGCGCTCTGCCACTTGAGCCACAGCACCACTTCCAGCTTTTTCTGCTTATGTGGTGCTGAGGAATCAAACCCAGAGACTCATATGCATGCAAGGCAAGCACTCTACCACTGAGCCACCTTCCCAGTCCAAACATGAACTTCTTTATCCAGACTACTCTACTTAAAATTTTATATATGCCTACTCACTGATCAATGAGGAGGTAACTATTTTGAAAGAATATGAAAGGAGATATTCAGTTGATATCTGATAAAAGGAAGAGAGACAATTAGCATTTGGGGAAGTTCCTTCAACTTTGTGGAGAGAGAGGAGAAAAAGACCCCACAGTCTGAGCTTGTGGAGAAAGGGGAGAAAATGACCCTACAGTCTGAGCTCAGAGAAAACATAGGATGGTACTTTTCCCCTAACTTCATTAGAGTACTTTATCCCAGTAATACACAGCTATATACTACAGGTAGTTTTACCTTACAATGTGTTTTGGATTTTTTTGTGTGTATGTCAACTGGGGATTCAATCCAGGGCTTGTAAACACTTTATATAACTTGACCTACACCCCTGTCCCCCATATAAAGCTTTTATTAGCTGGGCATTGGCGGCTCACACCTATAATCCTAGCTACTCAAGAAGCTCAAATCAGAGAATCGAGTTTTAGAGCCAGGTAGACATTCAAATCCACGAAACTGTTATATCCAAATAATCAGTAAAAAGTTGGAATAGAAGTGTTTCAATGTGAAACCCTGAGTTCAAACCTCAGTACTGGCAAAACAAAAACAAACAACAACAAAAAACCCTCCTTTATTTTATAGATCCTGTCAGTGTAGGTACAGATATTGGTAAAGTTTGTGAAATATATGATCCATACATAAACACAAATTTATATCCAAGTGAAAGACACTGATTTCTGCCATTGTTTCTAAGAATGCTATACTCACTTGTTTATACAGTTAAATACGTATGTCCACACTACACCAGCACAGGTAAGAAGCTCCAAAAGAGACAGTAAACCTAAAACACTGAAAATATTTACTATTTGTCCCCCACCTCTTTTTTTTTTTTTTTTTTTTAAGAGAGAGACTTCTACAATCAACATGAATAAGATAAATTTCCTAGCTGGGCACTAGTGGCTCATGCTATCCTATCTATTCAGGAGGCTAAGATATGAGGATCCAGGTTTGAAAGCAGCCCATGCAGGAAAGCTATGAGACTCTCATCTCCAACTAACCAGCAAAATGCTAAAAGTAGAGCTTTGGTTCAAGTGGCAGAGCATCAGCCTTAACGGAAAGTCCCACAGGTTCTGAGTTCAAGCCCCAGAACTGGCACGAAATAAAGCTTTAGCAACTATTTGTTTTAGTACACCAAGGTTAAAATACAGAGAAATAGTATTTTAAAAAGAGAGACAGAAACAGAGAAACATTTCCTGCTCCCTACAAAGGAAAAGGAATTACTGTGGAAATACTGGAGTCTGAACTCAGTCTCATACTTGCTAGGCTGGCACTATCCCTGGTGCAAAACTTGTACCTCAGCTTTTTGCTGGTTATTTTGGAAATGGAGTTTAGAAAGTGATCTTTTTTTCTGCCTACACTGTCCATGAACCTTGATCCTTCAGATCTCTAGACTCTTGCTGGGTAATTATAGAGACAGAATCTCCAATTTTCTGACTGGGCTTGCCTTGAACCTCCTGAGTAAGTAGGACTACAAACAAGACCTGTCAGTGCTTGGCCAAGAGGTCATTCTCAAAATCTTAGAATAGTTAACATTCAAGCTAAGATGATATTTATTTGCATGTACGCATATGCCTTTAAGCACCTCCCTCTTTTTCTCTCCCTCCCTCTCTCTCCTTTTTTAACAGGGGGAGAGGGAAAGCATCTATGTTGCCAGGTTGGCTTGTATCTCCTGGGCTGGAGAGACCCCCTTATCTCAGCCTCCCAAATCCTGGGACAATAGTCATATACCACTATGTATTTGAGCTGGGCACTAGTGGTTCACACCTGTAATCCTAGCTACTTAGGAGGCTGAGATCTGAGGATCACGGTTCAAAGCCAGCCTGGGCAGGAAAGTCCGTAAGATTCTTATCTCCAATAAACCACCAGAAAACTGGAAGTGGCAATGTGGCTCAAGTGGTAGAGCATTAGCCTTGAGGGACAGTGCTCAGGCCCAGAGTTCAAGCCCCATGACTGAACAAAAAAAAAAAAAAGTGTTTGAACAGGAGAAAGATAATTTATTAATGTAGTCACACATATGTTCAATAAACAGACAAAAGCAAATACTTACAACGACTTTTCAACTTTCCCTCATAAAACTCAGTAATAGTAAAATCTGCAACATTCGCTTTAAAATTTCCAGTTAAACAAGCTAATACACAGAAAAGTAAATTATTTGTTTATTACTCAATTTTTACATCCTGCAGTCTTCATCTTCCAGTTGGTTGGTCTGTTACCCATTAAAAAAATCCTAATTTCATGAAGTTAAAGAAAACATAATTCTTTACTTTATATATACACAAGAATAAAAATCCTTACAGCCTAAAAGAAAAAAATATTTTGTTTACTAAATTGAAAGCATAGATATGACAACACAGGAAAAATACTAAGTACTTAAGAATGTTACAAAAATACTATAATACATTAAAAAATTTAAATTATCTTAAGTAGTTATACAAACAGGTTACCATTCAACAAATTAGGTTAAACAATGCATCTTGATCCATGTCACCCCATTAATCATTCTCTTCCGTCTCTCCCAATAAAACCCCTTAGTATACTACATTTAGCTAAGATTTTAACAGCTCTCAGCTTACATGTTTGCCTTTTTATAACTTGCTAAATTTCCAGCATAAGTATAAATTCCTGGAAACTTTCCTCAAAACATGAAAACTCTCCAAGGTACAGTTTTTACCCTATTTTTCTTTGAAATTGATTTGCTACATTATCAGAATTAGAAAGTTATTCAGGAACTATTTCTAAATACTATTTATTTTCTAAATAATACTATTTTCAAGCTTAAAGAACCTTTTCCCATTTTTCTCTTTCCTTTTAGTAAACAAAAAAATCTTGCCGGGCTGGGAAGGTGGCTCAGTGGTAGACTGCTTGCCTTGCATGCATGAGGCCCTGGGTTCGATGCCTCAGCATCACATAAGCAAAAAAAAAAAAGCTGGAAGTGGCACTGTGGCTCAAGTGGTAGAGCACTAGCCTTGAGCTGAAGAACTCTGCCCAGGCTCAGAGTTCAGGCCTCATGACCAGACCACCCCCCCCCCCCCCCAAAAAAAAAAATCTTGCCAACTTCTCTGGCCAGTTCTGGGGCTTGAACTCAGGACCTGAGTGCTATCCCTGAGGTATTGTTCTTTGTTTTTGTTCTCCCTCAAGGTTAGTGCTCTAAAACTAGAGCCTCAGTTCTACTTCCTGCTTTTTGGTGATAAATTGGAGATAAGAGTCTCATGGACTTTTCCTGCCCAGGCTGGCTTTGAACCATGATCCTCAGATCTCAACCTCCTGAGGACATAGGATTATAAGTGTTAGCCAGCTTGTCAATACTTTTTTTTTGGTCGGTTATGGGGCTTGAACTCTGGGTTTGGGCGCTATCCCTGCGCTCTTCAGCTCAAGGCGAGCACTCTACCTCTTGAGCCACAGCACCACTTCTGGTTTTCTGGTGGTTAATTGGAGATAAGAGTCTCACAGACTTTTCTGCCCAAGCTGGCTTTGAACCATGATCCTCAGATCTCAGCCTCCTGAGTAGCTAGGATTACAGGAGTGAGCCACCGGTGCCCAGCTTAAAGGAATTAAGTTTTCAATATTAAATGTAGAAAAGCATATTACTTCCCTTACAGGTTAACTTTCTATAATTATTACACATATGGAATTAGTAACAATGATATAAACACTCATTTACAAAATTGTATTACATCCTTATAAAATGAAAACAAATCTGATCATATGCCTGTGCAATCAGACCTGTAATTTCTTTATTAAAATGTAAGTCATCAGATAATCTCTAATAAAAACAATCCACAGTATTTTAAGTTGCAAAGAAATATTTCCTACCTTGCCTGCTTCTCTTTCTAAGTCGACATACTCCCGGCTAGGTATTTGTCGCTGTTCTCCCTGCCAGCTGGCCGGAAAAAACTGGAGAGACAGATTGGTTCCTGTGGCCACAAAAGCCTTTTAGAAAAATCAATACAAACAGGATCAGGAGCAGGACATTACATAAATTATGCAGGCAGTCATTTATTTTTACATCAGTTTATGTCTTAAGCCAGGCAGCACTGAGAATACTTAAAAGTAAAAAAAAAACATGCACTCATCATTTTTCTTAAGTATTAAGTTACAAACATCTGATTCCATTTTGAGGGCATTTGCCATTGGCTGCTTAAATATAAAATCAGACATGGAATCAATACTTTCTTTCAGGTCATTTTTTGCTGACGTTAGTATCTCACATTGCTAATGTCTAACCAGAAACCACGATCTTTGCATTTAAGAACTGGTATTTTTAAGTGTAAAAACCACTGATAATCTAAAGATTTTTGCATTTTAAAGCACACAACAATTTACAGTTGTATAAACAGGATGTTTTATTTCTGTTGATTTCCTTATACTCAAAGAAACACTGAATGGTGTGTGGCACATAAAAATTTCAGTACTTAAGTGCATTTTGAAGCCCAGGTTAATATGCACTGGAGATGATGTCTTCTGTGACTGACCACCCCTGAGAAAGTGATGTGACAGTACTTCTCTCTAAAAACCTGAATGATTAAAATATATACATTAAACAATTTTACCCTAAAAGAATTAGTTCAGATTCTAGCAAAGAGTATTGAGTGTTCGTATTTGTAAAAGATGTGGATGGCATTGTTCAGTAAGATAGAATTATCTAAAACATTTCAATAATGTGGCATTCTATGAAGTCCCTGATAAATTTAACTTGGTATTTGCCCTGTGTCTAGAGAAACAACATTATTCCTCTTTCTGGGGCAATTCAGAAATAAATAAAAGGGGTTTTGTTTGTTTTTTTTCCTTGCAGTACTGAGGAATGAACTTGAGCTGTGAGCTCTACCACTGGAGTCATGCTTCCAGTCCTAAAAAAAAATATTTCCAAAAAAATTACGTATTTTGTCATTTAAATGTATACTCTTCTTTGCTGGAACCAGAGAAGTTAGTTCAGTTTATTTTACTGATGAAATTCTGAAGCATCATTCCTAGTCTTCATCTGAAAGTTAGGGGCTCACTTTTACAGCTCTCTCTCTTGGTACCAGTTCTGGGGCTTGAACTTAGGGCTTGGGCACTACTGTTGAGCTTTTGTACTCAAGGCTAGGGCTCTAACCACTTGAGCCAAGCTTCACTTCTGGCTTTTTGGAGGTAAGTCTCCTGGACATTCCTGCTCAGGCTACCTTCAAACTGCAATACTCAGAGATCTTATCCTACGGAGTAGAGAGGATTATATGCATGAGTCATCAGCACCTGGATTATACTTCCTCATACTGGTTGTGTCAAGTTAACTACTAAATATGTAGAGGCTTCTTTGTTGGCATTCTCTTACCAACTGGAATACCTTTTTCTTGTAGTATATATTTTCTATGATAGAAATTGAACATCAAGTTGGGCGCTAGTGGCTCACGCCTGTAATCCTAGCTACTCTGGAGGCTGAGATCTGAGAATTGCAGTTCAAAGCCAGCCTGGGAAGAAAAATCTATGAGATTCTTATCTCCAATGAACTACTTAGAAAAAGCCAGAAGTGGTACTGTGGCTCAAGTGACAGAGTGCTAGTCTTGAGCACAAAGAGGTTCAGGAACAGTGCCCAGGCCCTGAGTTCAAGCCCCAGGACACACACAAAAAAATTGAACATCAAATATTACATCAATCTTAAAGAAAAGCAGACCAGGAAGAAAACTGCCTAGATTTTATGAATTAAGGCATGCTTCCATTTTTTCCCCCCACAAATTAGTATTTGTTAAGTATTTATTTAGAACAGTACCAAGTAAACATTATTATAAATGTTTGCCAATAATGTAAGAGAAATAACTTCTGTCTTTGTAAAATGAGATCTATGTGCTGGCCTAAAACAGTTGGGCTTGGATGACTGTCCTTTTCCCTAGTCTCCCTGGTAGCTGAGACTGCAAATAGGACAGCAATGTACCCAGCTTAAGAGAAAATAACTGAGATCAATAAAAGAGCTAACATTTCAGCATCTGAAAATGAAATTCTCAGAGCAGAGTAGTGACAAACATGAGATTGAGCCTATGAATGAAAATTCTGTGTCCAAATCCCTAAGGCATTTATATATTCACGAGTAGCAAATCCTCCAGTGCCCTAACCAGCTCTGTGCTAAGACACTGAAGATCTTATTACCTCAGAAGAGTTCGTGCTTTACTGTTTATTGGCCATCATCTCATCAAGAGAAAAAGTGGTAAAAACTAATTTTCTGTCGGGTGCTGGAGGCTTACTCCTAGCTACTTAGGAGGCTGAGATCTGAGGACTGAGGTTCAAAGCCAGCCCAGGCAAGAAAGTCTATGAGACTCTTATCTCCAATTAATCACAGAAAAAGCCAGAAGTGGCACTGTGGCTCAAGTGGTAGAGTGCTAAGCCTTGAGCAAAAAGGAGCTCAGGAACAGCTCAAGCCCAGAGTTGGAGCCTCAAGACTGGCAAAATCGAAACCCTGATTATTCTAAATAGCATTTTCCAAACTTACTTGAACTAGAATATTTTTCTTTTTTTCTGAGGGAGAGAGGCAGGATTGACTGGGATGAAACTGTAGGTCTCACAATCTTTGATTTTTTTTTTTATAATCTTTGATTCTATATATACACAAGGGTTGGGAAATATGATCAACATACTTTCTCGCAGGTGTGGGTGTGTGCACATGCACATAGGCAGGTCCTAGGGCTTACACTCAGGGCCTATGCACTGTCTCTGAGCTTTTTTGCCTCAAGGCTGGCACTCTTACCACTTGAGCCACAGCTACTTCCAGCTTTTTGGTGGTTAACTGGAGATAGGAGGCTCTTTACTGCCCCTTTGGGCTGGCTTCCAACTGTGTTCCTCAGATCTCCTGAGTTCCAGGAGTAGGATTACAGATGATACCTACTGAATATCTGGCTTTTATCAACATACTTCATATTCATGTATGGGAAAAAACCTCAAGGAAACCCCTTTGTCAATGCCAGTGGCTCACACCTACTAGCTACTATCCTGGCAAGAAAGTCTATGAGATTCTCATTTCCAATTAACCACCAAAAAGCCAAAAGTGAAGCTGTGGCTCAAGTGGTAGTGCTCTAGCCTTGAGCAAAAATCCAAATCAAACCAAAACAAAACAACAAAAACCCAGAAAATACAACCCCCTAACGGTAGGCCCAGGCCAAATTCAAACTCTCCCCTCCCCCTCAAAACCCTCTTTGTATAATTAACATATGGCTAGGAAGAGTTGGGCTATATGAGGCTATAAGTTTGATACCAGATCCATTAAAAAATAATTAAATATACATATTTTTCTTTTCTTTTTTTTTTGGGGGGGGGGGGGGTCTGGTTGTGGGGCCTGAACTCTGAGCCTGGGCGCTGTCCCTCAGCTCTTCTGCTCAAGGCTAGTGCTCTACCACTTGAGCCACAGTGCCACTTCTGTTTTTTTTTCTTTTTGCTTATGTGGTGCTGAGGAATCGAACCCGGGGCCTCAGGCATGCAAGGCAAGCGTTCTACCGCTGAGCTACTTTCCCAGTCCCTAAATATACATATTTTTAAGAAAGGCTTGGGAAAATTCTATTTGAAAAGGTTAAAATTCTATACTGGTATAAAGTCTGTATATAAGATTTGCCTGATTATACTTTATAACATTAAAATGGCAAGCCCTGTGCTACTCCAACCTACCTTTTATCACTCAATGTTCTCAAAAAACAAAAATTAGTTTTACTCTCCTACAGTACTCACTATAATGTTCATTTTTTGTTTCATTATTAGTGTTGAAAATCTCTCCAACATGCTTACTAAAATGAAAATTCATAGAAGGAGTAGATTGTACCTCTCACCATAACCACTAATATTCCATGATGAGATAAAGAGCATGGTTGAGTTTTGCAAAAAGAGAATTGCAGCTCTTAATTTCTTTAGATACTATAATACACACATCCCCACCTACCCCACCCCCTGCCAGTACTGGAAATTAATTGAATCTTGCTCAAGATAGCCAAATGTTCTACCATACCCTTGGCCCTCAAAATAAACTCTTTACAAACTTTACTGATACATCAGAAGACAGGTTGGGATACATAGTTCTAAAAATACATAATTTAAAAAACTATGTGTCTGCTGTCAAAATAGAGGCAAAGTGTTGCCTTTCCATAACTAAACAGGTAGAGACTATAGCCTATTCCTAACTCATAAATTAGAGTTCAGGCATTAAATTACATAATCTCTAAATTAAAATAATCCCTAAAATAATGATCCAAAGGAATTATGACCTGAATCCAAAGGAGTATATTCAAAATTAAACTGGTCTCCAGCCTCTAGAAGCCAAGAATCCTTTAATTTGTGTGGGTAATAATTAATAAAAACGGGAGAATAAGCCAGATGCTGGTGGCTCATGCCTATAATCTTAGTTACTCAGGAGCCTGAGATCTGAGAATCCTGGTTCAAAGACAGACCAGGTAAAAAAAGCCCAGTTCCTCTTATTTTCAATTAACCAGCAAAAAGCCAGAATGGTGGTGTGGCTCAAGTAGTAGAATGCCTGGCTTGAGTGGAAAAAGCTCAAGGCCTTGGGTTGAAGCTTCAGTATCAGAACAAAAAAGTATGCGAGGGAGGACTAGAAAAAGGGAAGTATGAAATCCCCTCCTAAATATATGACATAGTTACATTACTCAACAAAAAGCAAGAAGATAAGACCTCAAGGTCAGCTTTCATTTCATGAGACTATTGGGGGGGGGGGGGGCGGGAGAAGACTGGCAAAGTGCTGGTGCTCATAGCTATAACCCTAGTTATTCAAGAGGCTCAGATCTGCCAGGTGCAGGCAGCTTAGGCCTGTAATCCTCACTATTTAGGAGTCTGTGATCTGAGGATTGCAGTTCAAAGTCAACCTGGGTAGAAAAGTCCATGAGACTCATCTCTAGTAAAATACCCCAAAAAAGCCAGAAGTGGCTCAGGCAGTACAGCACTAACCATGAGCAAGAGATGCTCAGGGACAGCACCCTGGGCCTGAGTTCTGACAGAAAACAAACAAAACATAGTAAAAATTCATAGGATCAAGGCTGGTAAAGTAGCTCAAGAGGTAATCTGTCTAGCAAATACAAGGCCTAGTTCAAACTCTAGTTGAAAAAAAAATTGTAAGACCAGATACTTAAGAGAGAAAGCCTAGAATGTCTAATTCATCTTGGAAAGAAATTTACTACAAATAGGTAACAATTTAGCAATCTTTTATATAGCAGTATTATATATAGCTAATCAGACTGTGGGTTGAACTATATGCCCAATTTATAATTACATGCAGCAAATTCTAATGTGACAAAAAAAAAAACCCTACTGGCTATGCTTCACTTGGTTAAAAAAATCCTAGCTTCAAAAAAATAGCAACAGTACTTTATATCTCATCTTTATCATGTAACAACATCAATTACCTGAAGGAAATTCTTTGATCAGAAATACCAACTATCATCTTTCTTGAAGGAAGTCAGGTAAAGGATGACATCTCTGAGCTAATAATGATTTATTATACAACTCATTGCCCAAACCAAAATGCCTTTGTTTTATATGTCTACATCACACAAATATTAAACTACTCAAGAAACTTGGAGGTGAACTGAAAGCTGAAGTTTCATAATATGCATTAATGACCCAACACCTTGTGCTTCTGATAAATTTAAGCAGTATCATCTTTCTGTAATGTAATTCCCAAATGCTTTCACTTTAAATATTAAACATCCCTTGAAGATAAATCTGGATGTGGTGATGCAAAGGGAAAATTTCGTGGTATATGAATTACATCTCAATGAAACAACTGACTGTAGAGGGGGAGGAGAAATAAATTTTCCAAAATAGTTTTTTGTTAACCTCAGTTCAAACTGTTATCTTAAGCTTCAAGTCTCTGCCAACGCAAGTGAGCAGAAAATACGATTCCATTATGCAATGCTTCATCTTTTTTTTTTTAAATAATCGACTCCTTTTTCTATAAACTTCCTCCTATCATTGCTTCCTCCTTGAAAACTAACCTTCAATAGGACACCGCAAAAAGCATGAAAGAAACTACCACACCTGAGTAGTTTTCAACCTAAAGTTTGATGAACAGGAGGCAACACACCCATCACACCTAAACAGGGACTTCAAAATCAACTGTGAGTTTCATAGAAACAAGCAATTCTTTCGAAACTACAGCACTAAAAAGTTAGAAAAGCGGGGGGAAGGAAGGGGGGGGGGTGTTTCAGATTCTACTGAGGCAGAATATTCTAGGGAAAGAAAATGATCCACTCTGTGTTGCTCCCCCCCCCCCCCACTTCATCTTCTATTAGGTCAATAAACAAGATTCTCAGCTACACGGGGAATGAAATTTAGCTTCTAAGAAACCGACTATCGCTGACTCCGGGGGAAGCTCCCACCCCACCCCCAATTCTTTTGCTACATGAGCGTTGCCTTCCTACACATTCTGAGAACCCCGAATGGTGTCACAGCCTGATACAATGCCCTTCTGCTTGTTCCATGTGGCTGGGGTTTGAGCTCCATCGCGGCGAAGAGTGTCTCAGATCCGGCTTCGGGAGGAAAATACAAGCCACCGGCGGCGGCGGCGGCGGGGCTACCGCTACGGGACCCGGGCGTCCGCGCCGAGCGAGGACCGGCCCGCCAAGCGCCTGGTTTTCTTGCGCCTTTTGAATCCCGAGTAGGAAGTGAGACGGAGTCCGCTCAGTTCCGGGAGCCGCGGCGTCCGCGCGCGGCGCCGTCCGGAACCCGCCTGGGCCGCGCGTCTCGCGGAGCAACAAGTGACCCGCGCCCGCCCGCGCCCGCGCGCGCCGCGGTCCCCGCGCCCCATCCCGCGACTTACGATCTCCGAGCGGCCGTCGCGGCAGGCGTTCTGGAAGCGCGTCTGGCGCTCCTCGTGGGGCCGGTCCCTGAAGCCCGTGTATTTAATCTGCAAGGCAAGAGACCGGCCGAGGAAAATCAGGAGCCAAATCCGCGGCGTCTCTCGCCCGCCCCTCGCGGCGCCGATAAGGGCAAGCAGAGTCTGCGGGCAGACAGACGGCTGCCGGGGCGAGATTTGCCCCTCTTGCGACCGCGCCGCCCAAACTTTTCTCCGCCCGGGCCCACTCGGGGCGCGTCGCGGCCTCCGCGCCTTCCGCCCGCCTCGCCTCACCTCACCTCACACTCGCGGCTCAGCTTCCTGAAGAACTCCTCATTTTCGAACTTGCTTCTCTGGTCAGGCACAACGCGCGGCATCTTCCCGCCCGAAGGCCGCGGCGGCCGGGGCTCCGGGCTGGCGTGGGTAAAACCCGCCGGCTGGTTCTGTGCTACCGACTGACCGCCCACCCCGCGGCGCCCAGACTCCCGCTTCTCTTTGTTTCAGGCGCCCGCCCGCGTGGGCTCCCGCTCCGGGGAGTCTGAGATACTGCCGCCCGCTCGAGCCCAGCCCACGCCGCCGCAGCCTCAGCCGTTGCCTACCGCCCGCGCAGACCCAGCTCTCGCCGCCCACAGCCACCGCCGCCGCCACTTCCTCTCGCCGCCCACCTAGCTCACCCTCCCCGCCCCGCCCCCGGCGGCCCCACCCCTCCTTCTTACGCGCCCGCCCGCCTCAAACTCCGGCAAACAAGACTCACCATTCACAACTCCATGGCCCGCGCCGCGCATGCGCCTCACGCCCGCTCGGCTTGCGGGGTGGTTGTGTTGCCGGGAACCCGGGCTCTCTCCACAGCGCAACCTCCTTCCCCTTTGCCTGAGTGCTGGCGGGTTCATTGTACAACAGCTGGGTGGGGTCAGCCGGACACATAGGCTACAAGGAGCGTCCCCTCTCCCTCCACAGGCTTTTTACTTCCCTCATTGCAGAACTATCTAGAACTTGTGAACTCCCAGCCACTCGAGGGTAACCTCACATTTCTACTTGAAAGTGAAGAAGCCTTGGGGATTTTGCATGCTCACACCAGCTGTGCACACCTAGGACTAAAGGTGGAAACAGACTGAAGATTTCAGCCAGATCGTGGTGGTAGCTGTTGTAATCAGCCAGGCTTTAGATGAGATTTTGCACAGCTCATCTGCCTGCTGACTGGGCCTGTTAAATATCAGAATTCTATTTTCAATAATACACATAAGTTCCTAAGAGTTAGCGTAAGAACCTTTATGTTGGCCTAACACTTAATGGCCACCCAATAAACTTGGGTCTCTAAAGAAAAGCAAGGTAACCCCTGGGTGCTGGTGGCTCACATCTGTAATCCTAGTTACTCAGGAGGCTGAGATCTGAGGATCATGATTTGAAGCCAGCCAGGGCTGGCTTATCTCCAATAAACTACAAAAGAAAAAAAGAAAGGAAAAAGAAAAGAAAGCCAGAAGTGGAGCTATGGCTCAAATAGTAAAATGCTAACCTTGAGCAAAAAAAAAGCTCAGGAACAGCACCTTGAGTTCAAGCCCCAGGCCTGGCAAAAAAAAAAAAAAAAAAAGTTGACTCAAAGGATAGCAAATAGGTGCCAATTGTGTCAGTAGCGGGGCCAAGATTGCAAAGGTATTTGAAGATATACCTAAATGCAAAGGAATCAGTGCCAAATCAATTGGCAATGCCTGTCTTGAGTAGAGGCTTGGCAGAACTTCCCATCCCTGTCCAATCTCATTTTTACAGATATGGAACTAAGCTTAGATAACTAGCTGTCCTGGATTTGCCATGGACTGTCTTGGTTTTAGCAATATTCTTCAGGAAACCACTCAGAACCTAGAAAACCAGTATGGTTGTTAATTCTAACAGGTCTAGAGACTGATTGCTCAAAGTTAAGGTGGGTTTTTTTGTTTGTTTTTTGTTTGTGCTGGTCCTAGGACTTGATTTCAGGGCCTGGGCACTGTCCTTGAGCTTTTTGCTCTAGACTAGTGCTCTAAAGTAGTTGTGTGTGTGTGTGTGTGTGTGTGTATGAGTCTTTTTGTTATTGTTTTGTGTTTGTTTTCCCTCATTTTTACTTATCATTTTATTGTTGCTATTAATGTGTTGTGCAGAAGGGTTACCATTTCTTTTTTTCTTTCCTTCCTTCTTTCCTTCCCCTTCATTACTACCTCTTCCTTCTTTCCTTCCTTCCTTTTTTTTCCTTCCTTCTTTCCTTCCCCTTCATTACTACCTCTTCCTTCTTTCCTTCCTTCCTTTTTTTTTTGCCTATCCTGGGGCTTGAACTCAGAGCCAGGGCACCATCCCTGAGCTTCTTTTGTTCAAAGCTAGCCCTTTACCACTTGAGCCACAGTGCCACTTCTGGCTTTTTCTGTTTATGTGGTACTGAGGAATTGAACCCAGGGCTTCATGCATGCTAGGCAAGCACTCTGCCACTAAGCCACATTCCCAGCACAGGGGTTACCATTTCATAAGTCAGATACTGAGTTTGTTTCTTTTTTTGCATTCTGGGGATCAATCCAACTATAGACAAATGCTATACTACTGAGTTACATTTCCAGTCTTGCAGGTCAAGGTTTGCGGGTTGTTTATTTTTTTTTCCAAAGCTGAAATATAGGACAGCTGGGCAGGGCTATAGCATGCACTACTGAGAGAGAGGGGGAGGAAGGGAAAGAGAGAGGGTGAAAGGTAGAAAAAAGAAACCATTAGGTTTATGGTTTTTAACAGACATCCTCCTATTGTTTTGAGTTTTTTAATTGGTGGTGGTGGTGGTTATGGAGCTTGAACTTGGGGCATGGGCACTGTCCCTGAGCTCTTTTGCTCAAGACTAGCACTCTACACTTTGAGGTATGTGATTAATTGGAGATGAGAGTCTGGCAGACTTTCCTGCACAGGTTAGCTTTAAATTATGTTCTCAGATCTCAGTCTCCTGAGTAGCTAGGATTACATCCCTCCTATTTATTTATTTATTTATTTATTTATTTATTTATTTCTGGTGCTTGTACTGCGGCTGGAATTCAGGGCCTCATATTTTCTTGGCTTTTTCTGCTCACCACTGGTACTCTACTGCTTGCGTCATACGTCCAATCCTGTCAAGATAAGAATCTTTTGGATTTGTCTACCTGGTTGGCTTCAAACAGTGATCCTTAGATCTCATTTCCTGAGTAGCTAAGATTATAGGCGACTGGCACCCAGTTCAGACATCCTCTTCTGAACCATAGACATAAGAGCAACTCCTTCTTTGGGTGTGCTCTTCTGGCCTGTCTGTACCAAGCCTGCGTGAATGGATGTGTATATATAAATAGAAAGGTATGGATTCCAACAACTACTACTGATGGAGCTCGCACTTTCTCATAATCTTTCTTTCATTGGTAAGCAACAGAAACTCAATTCCATGAAACTTAAAACTAAAAAGGATCTTTTACTTTACCTAAACAAATCAGAGAGGCAGATGAGCTATCTGGACAATGTTCTCTTTTTCTTTTCTGCTCCTCCATTTTTCATCACTGCTTTTCTGTCAGGATCTCTTGGATGATACTTGTTTCCCAGCAGTAGATCAGAGTATCCACTGCTCCATCTTACCAAATTACTTTAATTGCCTGGGTCACATATTCTCTCCGTGTGTGTGGATATGATTGACTGGTCAGTTTAAATCATATGCCCTTCCATCAGGATTTGGAACGCCTGTGATTATTGATCATAGAATCTGATATTTTAAATAGGGAGAAGAGAAATTCCCCCCAATAAAGGGAATAAAAAGGGGTGCATTACAGTCCCACTGAACAGTTTGTATCAGCTACTCTTGGGAAAGGATGCCATTTTTATTGTTGCATAAATGTTCTGATCAAATTGATGGTGACTCCCACATCAGCACAGGCAAAATGTAGACAAAAACCATCTTTAAAATATCTGCAACACAGGTTGGGAGGTTAAATAAGGCAGCCTTTATCCCAAGACACCAAAACTAAGTCTCAGGAGTTAGAAACCTTCATACACTGCTGTGTCTCCTTGAAGTCTTCCAGTTCAGTTTCCAGCTAAGAAAACCTTTAGATACCACGACAACATAGCCATTGTTTAAATGAGAAGAGGCTGACTTGGCTCTCAGTCAACAAGTCTGCAGATCAGCATAGGCTCATTGCTAGGGTTTTTGCTGCTGGCATTCATGATAAAAAACAGAGTGAAACATGTCCCAGGGGTAACTCACATGATTCGGTGTAGATGGATATTGGTATGCAACTTCTCATGTTGATCTATAAAAGCTACTCCACAAGGAGACACTGTGGTTTCACAGTAGGTCTAGGAGACTCTCAGATCTGCAGCTGATTTGATCTTTTGTCTGTAGTAACAGCTGTTACTGCCATGGGAAATGTGGAATAAATGAAAGTTGAGTTAGGTATGGTGATACAGACCTATAATCTCAGTACTCAGGAAGCTGAGGCAAGAGGATCATAAGTTTAAGAGCAGCCTGGGCTAAATGCTGAGACCCTGACTCAAAATACAACACAACAGAAATAGAAAGATCTCAAAAGTAGTAGTAGATGGCCAGACAGACACTATGACTTTTGGCAAGGAAAAGATCAGGGTTGTAGGAGCAGGATATAGTTGGGCAAGAATAGGCCAGAGAAGGCCAGAAGGCTCTACTTGTAGCTCCATGTGGGCAGGGAACCATGTCCAAAGGGAAAGGGATGGCAAAACCTTCCAAGCAGACCTAGAACTGCAGTAGCCTTTGGCAATCCTGGGCCACAGGGTAACCCACAGCGAGCTTTGTCTGGCATCCAAGTGGCAGGGTGACTGGGAAACAATCCTCTGGTTAAAGACAGTCTCTCCTTAGCTGACCTCTGTATGCATTTTTTACTTTTGTTTTTTTCCCCACTTATTTTGAAAAATAGGATTAAAAGAAATTCATACTTTCTCGATATGGGGAAATTTTCAAGTGAACTCAGCTTTGAGCTTCTAACAGCATTGGCAACCATCGGATAGTGTATAGGTTCATCTAGACCCCATTTATGTTTGCTAAGCCAGCTCACAGATGGCAGGGGTCCACTGCTTTGCCTAGAAAAATCCTCCTACTTTCCCAGAATCTGACTAAATCCCCTGGAGCTTCACTATTTGGAACCTTCCTTTCATAAGCATTCAGCCAATCTAGGGGCTCTCTTTTTCAACTGTCTGCACTCAGGTTTTTTGGAAGGAGATAGGTTGAAATCTAGGATGAATGTGTCCCCTGCCTGAGCATGGCAATTTCCTGGGCCTTAAAGCTTTTTTTTTTCTTTCTCTAGGTAATTGCTTCTGCAGGACATCCAGATGGATCTTGAGGAGATACGTAGAAAGCATTCAGGGATAGAAAACCCTCAGTTGTCTAGCCCAACTCTGAAACTGAGTGTCACACAAAAAAGTCAGATCTTCCTATCCCTCTTGGATAGATGAGGAAAAAAGAGACTGAAAAGGTCAGTCCGGTAAATAGGACAGTTTAGGAGACACTGACACATGAGAAATAATGAGTAGATAAGCATTGGACTATATCATTTCCATTTGTTCCTCACCTCAGCACTGCAAATCCAGCATCCCAATGAGGAAACTGAGACTCAGGGCCTAGTAGCCCCAGGATTGTGGTTTTAACT